CTGTGTTGCACTACCCACCAGCTGTGTTGCACTACCCACCAACTGTGTTGCACTACCACCAACTGTGTTGCACTACCCACCAGCTGTGTTGCACTACCCGCCAGCTGTGTTGCACTACCCACCAAACTGTGTTGCACTACCCACCAACTGTGTTGCATACCCACCTGCTGTGTTGCACTACCACCAACTGTGTTGCACTACCCACCAGCTGTGTTGCACTACCCACCAACTGTGTTGCACTACCCACCAGCTGTGTTGCACTACCCACCAACTGTGTTGCACTACCCACCAACTGTGTTGCACTACCCACCAGCTGTGTTGCACTACCCGCCAGCTGTGTTGCACTACCCACCAACTGTGTTGCACTACCCACCAACTGTGTTGCACTACCCACCAACTGTGTTGCACTACCCACCAGCTGTGTTGCACTACCCACCAACTGTGTTGCACTACCCACCAGCTGTGGGTGGTACTTGTCCCTATCTTGTAATGCTGTGTTGTACGTGAGACAGACGTGCAGGTCCGTCTCACGTACAACCTACCCAACATTCTCCACCTGACTCTCCACACTATATACACTCAGGTACCCTTTACCCAGGTAGATCCGTTTGTGATTTGATAAAGCTCACTATGTGGGCGAAACGTTGTCAATAAGGATCGCGTTATATTGCATTTGTGTTTATTTTTTCGTCTATGTTCCTTGTTGAAATGTAAGTAAACACGCAAATATTTAGGCGGTATTGACACATTCTGGCAAGTGTCAGTGACTGTGGCAGTAATAATTACCTTGAAATATTGTTCCATCTACCTAATTTTTAAGCTGCGTAATTGTATTTCAGCGTGTAACATAAGCAACCTTGTGGGAAGAGATCTTCAACTTTGTTTTTCCGCTGTCACAGTCTTCCCCGTGAACAATAAATAATAATCGTAATAATAATTAATAATAATAACAATAATTTGACTTTTCTGTAACTTTTGAGAAGGAAGACCATCATGTCTTGTGTTTTTTCCTTAAGTTGCTTGTCCCTTGGTCAGTCATTCTCTGTGGAATTATTTTACACTCCCACATGTTCCTACTTGAGTTGGTTTGTTTTAGAGCATAAAGATGAGAAGAATAGGGAAAGGAACGACTGGAGGGTAGCATAGAGCAGTGATAAAGATTATGGGTAGACAGGAAGAGGTAAGAAAGGTTAGGTGGTCTCACTACTTTAGGTAAGTTTTAAGGGAGTAGTTTTTGTCACATAGTGACGATCGTTGAGTCTAGTCAGCCTCACCCTGGCTGAATGTTAAGACAAATCTTGATGGTACATCATCTCCCTCCATCGTTGTTGACAGGGATGTCAACACATCACAAGTTGCACAGGAAAACTGAGTCATTATCAAGTCGCAAATGATTAAGTGGAGAGTCAAGCTGGGGAATGAGTTGAAACAGCTAAGGTTACCCAGAACATTAGTTAAGTAGTGGTATATAACATAGTAAGGACATTCATCCGAGATGTTTCGAACAATCCAATTTAAACTTATACGGGTTATATAATTTCTTTCAGGATCCGCAGACATACTCTGCAGACCTTAGGGTACAGTAGTGTTAAGTGCTGTGAATGTGTAGTGTGGTAAGTATCCCACCTGTGATTTTTCTAAGTATTGGCAGAGCCGGCTTTTGTTGGGTTGAGGATGGTGGTGATAGTAGTTGTACTGGTGGTTGTGACTGTAATGGTGGTTGTGATGGTAATAGTAATGGTGTGGCTCCATAATGATGTGAATGTTAGCACTTCCTTGTGTACCTTCACGCCAGCACTGAAGACTTTCTCTTGGTCTATACACTCACGGGTCTTCCCTCGGACATAATCGACGGATGTAAACACGGCTCGCAGTGCCTTCATTTGGTCTTGAGACTGGGCAGCGGGGACCATTAACCTCGAAACATCTTACACACACAGCGGAAATGTATTTATGTAGTCGGGTAAATCATTTGCTTAATATAATGTGCACACGTAGCGTTGCTTGTGGTTCCACCACTAACTATACCTTGTACAATCAATTTTTTCTAAGGGCATTGTTCAGTTTTATTCAGAGATATATACCTGTTTCTTGTACACTCAACGTGTGTGTGTGTGTGTGTTAGAGAGAGAGAGAGAGAGAGTCATTAAAGTAAGGGTTGGTTACTATGTTGGTTAATGTATTCTCTTGGGGAGAGGTGTTTAGGCCTGACTGGGGCGACTGGGATGTATCCAGGATTTTCCAACAGCTGTTTCAATACAACTTTCTTTTATGACTTGAGGGCAATCATAAAAAATCTGGCTTAATTGATTTGCGAAGTTATAGGCGTGTGTCTGGGTCTCTCTCTCTCTCTCTCTCTCTCTCTCTCTCTCTCTCTCTCTCTCTCTCTCTCTCTCTTCTCTCTCTCTCTCTCTCTCTCTCTCTCTCTCTCTCTCTCTCTCTCATGATCCTGCAACTTTAAACTTTTACTTCTGTTCTTCCGCATTAAATGTCGGGGAAAAGTTTCCTGATAACGTTAGTGAGTCCCTTATTTTGGTAACACTGTCAGTGTTGTTGGTGAGTCCCTCATGTTGGTAACACTGTCAGTGTTGTTGGTAACTGTTAACGCCGCTGTGTTAGCTCGTACTTTGGGCAGTTAAGGGGATTTTTATATTTTCTTTGTTTAGGTATCTCTTTCAGGATATCTTTCAAGTGGATGTTAGAATTGTGTTGCAAGGTGTTACTTAATAACTGCAACACCTGAGGTAACACATGGTGATTAACACTGACAAGTACAGAGAGAACAGAGACTTATAAAGTGGGTAATTAGTGTGATGAATATCATTTTTGTGATATATAAAGTAGTCAGATGTTGGTTGTGCCTCGTCAGTTGAGTCAGGACCTACTGACTTAAGATGTTTTAGTGATATAAACAAGAATCAGCACTTAAAGAAGACGTGTCACCTACCAGCGCCTTCATAAGTGAGTATATATAGTGTGTGAGGTGAGGTATATATAGTGTGTGAGGTGAGGTGGTCCATGGGCTGGAGGGTGAAGCTAGGTGATGGCTGTGTTGTGCTGTGGTTGGATATGTTACCTAGAGAATGTTGTGGGGTCAGTGCCCCCGCGGCCCGGTCCATGACCAGGCAAGGATTTTCCAGATTACAAAACTACCTGTGTTATAAGCGATGGTGTGTGTAATAGCGATGAGAGCAGAGTGTAAACAACGTCTGCGGAGGTCAAATTTCTTCATGTCACGCCGAGCATATTGGAAGGTTGAGGTGTTATGGTTGCTGGAGTATATGGTGGAGGCGTTGATTATCGTCCCTTGGACAAGCGTACTTATTTTCACCACTGAATTCTTCAAGGTACCCACATGTTTCCTCCACGTGTACTCTCATGCCCCACCATGGCATGGTGTAAATACCACAAATGGATTATCTGTGTAGCATTCACCCCTCAAGGGAGGTTCCTTGACGCTGGTGAGGGGCTCTTGATCTAGGGAATTGGATCTGTGCTCCAGTTCCCTGAATTGAGCCTGTATACCTTCCATCCCCCCACAGGCGTTGTATAATCCTACGGGTTTAGCGCTTCCCTGTGATAATAATAATAATAATAATAATAATAATAATAATAATTGTAGCATTCTCCTCTTTGTTATAGGTCTTAGTGCATTGGAAGATATGTTGCCCGTGGGTTTTCTATCAATAAGAGTGTGGCTATTCACAGACACTTCTCCATTTGGGAGAGCAGTGTAGTCAGGAGTCTGCATGTGTCTAACAGTGTAGAAGCTCTTAATAGCCTTTCTTCTACAGTCGTTGATAAAATATGCTGGGTAATATAGCTTGGAAAATATCTTGTGTATATAACTACATTCTCCTTCGTGGAAGGCTCCAGATCCCATATACTCTTAAATAAAAGTCTGTGATGAATCCATGAGAATGCTTTCAGTAACTGCACCATACATTGTAACACCCATAACCACCTCATGAACTTTCAAAATGTCAAGCCTGTCATGAAAGAATTGTCACATAAGTAATATTAGTAGCTAAAGAAGTTTACGCTGTTGATGTCCCTTCTTTGAGTGTGTGTGTGTGTGTGTGTGTGTGTGTGTGTGTGTGTGTGTGTGTGTGTGTGTGTGGTGCGTGCGCCTGCGTGCGAGGTGGGTGAGTTATTATGTTTGTATGTCACTAGGGCCAAGGTGCAGGCTACGGCCCAGTGCTGGTGACTTACTAGTATGACACGTTGTTGATTTGCTGCCTTACGTGACGTCTCAGACACGGGCCATTGGACCACGCTTCTCTCTCGCCGTCTGTGTCGCATCCTATCCTATTCCTAAGTCTAACTTGCTCTTTCTGTCTGTCTGTCTGTCTCTCTCTCTGGTTTCACTATTTCCACAAGACAGAAGTATTTCCTAATATACTCGTGCCTTATCTGTTCCCTTAAGTTCAACCTTTACTTGTTGAGCCATTTGTGCAGTCTGACCAAGTCTCCTTGCATGTCAACATCTTCAGTTTGTATCCTCAGCAGTTTAGTCAGCAAATAGGAGTCTTCCTTGATCCTTGTAGGATTCTGCTTCTTACTCCTGCCCAGTACATTCCTCTCGTCATTACTCTTACCTCCCGTCTTCCAATCTTCCTACGCCTCTCCATCATGGAGATAAAAGGTATAAAATACCCACAAGATGGAAAAAAATAAACACGAATGCAATATAATGCGATCCTTTATTGACAACGTTTCTCCCACACAGTGGGTCTTTTTTAAGTCACAGACAGATCTACCTGGGTAAGGAGTAGATGAGTATATATAGAGTGTCAGGTGGAAATAAATCCCACTGTGAATTTATGTCGAATTTTGTCAACTTTCTAAAGAGGGAAGAGGTCCGGTGGGCCCTGCAGATGAGCACCATATTCAACAAGATTTGTATATCTGTATAATTGTATGTCTTTGCATATATTTTTTTGTTTCTTCATATAGTTGTTTGGTAACTGACGCCACTTTCCTGTCTCTTTCCCCAGCTTCAGGGGAACCTGGACCCTGGCAGCTCCCCCTGTGATGACTTCTGGGGGTACTCGTGTGGGGGATGGCTCCAGGATAACCCCATTCCCCCCACCAGGACCAAGTGGTCCATCAAGGAGAAACTTAAACATCAAGGTGAGTGTTGAGGGAGAGGTGGGAGGGGGAGGGAGGGAGAAATGGGAGGGGGAGGGAGGGATAAGTGGGAGTGGGAGGGAGGGAGTGTTGAGGAAGAGAGGTGATGAATGAGGGAGTGTGTGGCTCATCAAAGAGAAATTTAAGAACCAGTGAGAGTGGGAGAGGGGAGGGAAGGAAGGGGAGAGGGGAGGTGAGAAGAGGAAGGGGAGGAGGAGGAGGGGGGAGGCGAGGCACGGAGGAGGAGGAGGGGGAGGCGAGGCATGGAGGAGGAGGGGGGGGGAGGCGAGGCACGGAGGAGGAGGAGGGGGGAGGCGAGGCATGGAGGAGGAGGGGGGGGGAGGCGAGGCACGGAGGAATATCCTTTTTCAAGTAGAAACTTTTACACACACATTAATATACATGGAAGAAATCACAATAAAACGACTGATCCCAAAAATGAAAAAAAAATGCCACAGTGAAAATAGGAAATAAATCCTGAGCGCTTTCATGTGTTTACACACACACACCACACACACACACACACACACACACACACACACACACACACACACCACACACACACACACAACACACATACATACACACATACACACATACACACACACACACACACACACACACACACACACACACACACACACATACATACACACACACACACACACACACACACACACACACACACACACACACACACACACACACACACATCCTCTGAAGATGTGTGAGTGAGCACATGAAAGCGCTAAGGTTTTATTCCCTATTTTCACTATGGTATTATTTTCACATTAATATAAATATACCAAAATATGTGAATAAGTTAGAAAACATTGACACTGTAGGTTTCAGAACTAAGAAAAAAGGCTAAGAATAATAGGTGAAAAAATGGCCTTGTTAGCTGAGAGGAATTATGATAACTACGTATATAAAACTGTTAAAAAATATATGAAAAATGTCTTAAACATCATTAAAACTCTGTTAAAAATGCGAGAAATATCTTAAACATCGTGATGAGAGCTGTGGTGGGCCCTACAGACAGTCATCAAGGTGTCCATGGTTAACCAGGACCCTGTGCTCAGTGACCACGGGAATCGTTACTGTGACCACAGGAAAGGTCACTGTGAGAGGATTCTCTACACAGTGAGGATCTTTCAAACGTCAGAGATGGACACCTGCTTAAGGGGAATCCTACTCCTGTGCACTCGTGGCATAACGTTGTCTGCAGTGCACATCCTACCAACACTAAACGTAGAGGGATTATACAGCACCTAGTGACTGTGAAGCAGGCAGGTTTGGTCCGAGTAAGGTACGGTTTATCAGCTTGATGGCTCAGGCCAGCAACAGCTTGATCGATCAGTACAGCAACAGCTTGATCGATCAGGCCAGCGACAGCTTAATCGATCTTGCCAGCAACAGCCTGATATATCTTGCCAGCAACCAGGAGGCCAGGTCTGGGACCGGGCCGCGGGGGGCGCTGACCTCCGGAAGCGACTCCTGGTAAACTTGAGGTAAGAGGCCGTGGCCATCATGAAGGCGCTCTCTCTGCAGTAACATTGTAATGTTTGTGTGATGATGGGACGACAGTGATTGTGGATAGTGCTGCTCTCTTCATTCTTATGATTTACTCGCTCTTGTGTTTTTAGCTATGACTCTATTATGTTCATTTTAGTGCTCATCACATGTTCTGTGTTGCGATACGGTGTAAGATTTTAGTAATGAACCAATTTACAAATTTCACAACCACCTTAACATTCTCTTTATCACGACACAACCTCCTTCCCTGTCTCTCCCCTCTACCATCACACAGCACACCACCACACTCTATCTCTCTCTCTCTCTCTCTCTCTCTCTCTCTCTCTCTCCTCTCTCTCTCTCTCTCTCTCTCTCTCTCTCTCTCTCTCTCTCTCTCTCTCATTCTACACACTACCATCATCCCTCTGTCTCCCAGTACGCGTCACTACCTCACATACCCGTGGCCTGCCTTGCTGTTATGACCGTATCTTCCTACAATAAAATTAGCACTTCATCTCCTTATTATCACTCTGGCGATCCTGGCTCAGCCGAGCAGATCCCTCTAAGCCTACCCACACCCAGCCAGCCCATTCCAAACCTACCCAAGCTCAGCCAGCCCATTCCAAACCTACCCAAGCTCAGCCAGCCCATTCCAAACCAACCCACGCCCACCCGCCCACCTCAGTACAAGCAAGACATTCCAGCTACTAGCACCTCCAACACAAGCCACCGTGGATTTGTTTACCAAGTGCGGATCCCCCCGGATTGTCGTTCGCGAACGAGGTTAGCATGGCCGGTATCCTCTTAAGTGAGATCCTCCGCTGTTTTCCCCTGTTATTTCTAAAGTTTTTCTGTTCTTGGAGGGAAAACGTGAGGCGAATTAATTTAAACACCATTGGCATCTCTTAAGACTGGTGTAGCTGTGAGAGAAGCAGTCTCAGTGATTAGCAGGAGGTGGATCGAGCCTTCACAACTTGTACTAAGTACACGGGTTTACCGCTTTATATTGCTGCTGCTACTGTTTGTTTTACTCTTTTATTACTACTACTGTTACCTCTGTTTGTTAATATTTCTAGTACTGCTGCTACTACTATTTGAGTTACGTTATTGCTATCACCACTACTTCTGCTTATATTACTACCACTGCTATTACTCTTATTTCTGCTTCTGTTACTATTACTGTTAATAGTATTACTGTTACTATTACTACTATTACTATTCCTGCTACTGTTATTAGTATTACTACTTTGAAATATATGTAAACACGGAAAACGTTCTTTTACTGGTCGTGTCGACGTTTCAAGGACGTCTGGGACCTCAGTTCTTTACTTGCATGAGATTTTATGTTCGGTATGCTTATAAATAACAAAATTGATATTACTTTACGTGGAAAGACATCACTCATAATTTTTAAGCATAGTTGCTTCATTATAAGGAGAAAGTTGGTTAAAATGTGTGGGTGAGACCTCGTATAGTAACACAGATGTTGCTGAAGAGTTTGTTGTTATTGGCTGAGATGATGTTGAATGGTTGGTTGTTATTGGCTGAGATGATATTGAATGGTTGGTTGTTATTGGCTGAGCAGGGTATGTTGCTTCTAATCGATAGATTCTTGGCCGAAAAGGTTACTCTTCTAAGTAGCTGGAGGGGTCCGATCTCGGCTCCTCTCACCGCCATCCTCTCGTCTGGAATATTATTGTAGCACCAAGGCAGGAGAGATATACACATTGTTTTTGCTCGCATACTCAATAAAGTATCTAAACTTCTGTGAATATCGTGATGCACTTGGAAATGTATATGCTGGTCGGAACAGGATGTATGTACTCTTTAGAACGGAGAAGAGAGAGAGAGATATCTGAAAATATATACATAGAAGATACTTGAGTGCTTGGTCCCCAGTACACTGCCATAATTTATTTCGTGGTCCAAGACTAACCAGTCCCATGCCAACAGGTATGAAAAATATGGTTAGAACTAAAGTAAAGGTTTTTAAGAGGAAACTGAACTTCTCATCCAAGTGATAGGTCAGCTGGGCTGTGGAGAAATTTTCTCCAACCCCGGGGGGGGGTCTACACCACTCTCAGGGGGCAGTGATCCCTCTCGAGGGAGTTAAGACTCCTCTACTTTCCCTACACTGGAGAGCAGGAGTGAGCACAAGAGGGATCATGCTTTGTTCTTTTTGCACAAGCAGAGATCAAATAAGTTGTCTGGTTTTGCTACATAGCTTCATTGAGAAACATCCACCAATCTCAATGTTTGTTCTTACCAAGTAAAACTAGATTGCCTGATCATAAATCAGATGCATATACCAAACTGAGGTGTCACAAGACCTCTTCCTTCCTTATGGGAGTCTCTGCAAGATTTTATGAACATGTGTTTGTCTGAGGAAATTGTTATTTCCCAAGACCTGGAAAAAATAAAATCAAGATAATTTGCTTCTATAGTGATATTTCTATGGGTGTTATTCGTCTGATCCGGCACCTTGTACTTAAGTAATCCACACTGCTTGATTCATTTGAGTCGTCATAGCCGGCACCAACGCCTGTAGACATCTTGTCAGCAGATAACCGCTCATAAGAGGGCGGAGGTTCCAACAGACTGATTGCAGTTTGATTTCGGCCAGTGAACACGTGACGAAGTGGCCGGGTGCTACCCGGCTAGGCCACACTCGTTGAACGCAGGAACATTCGTGGTCATATTCGAGTGCATACGAATCCCGAGTCGTGCACTGACAATCTCCAGTAAGAATGAAGACACTCTTCCTGCCATGAATAATTACGGATTATTAGGGAGTGAGAATAAGTGATCAGGCGACGTGTGCCAAGTACACGACAAGAGTGAAGACGTCCAACGTCACTCTGCATCTCAGGTCATCAATATAGCGATCTCTTGATTGCTTTAATGTTGTAACGTCCAGTAAAACAAAGACTTACCTGACTAGTTACAACGAGCCAGGTAAGTCTTTAAAAGCATACCACGGGCGGGGATAGAACCCGCGATCAGAGAGTCTCAAAACTCCAGACTCTCTGATCGCGGGTTCTATCCCCACCCGAGGTATGGTTTGTTTGCAATCGTGTCATTACGATTTCGTGAGTTAGGTAAGTCTTTGTTTTACTGGGCATCCTCCTAATTCCACTGCAGTACCTAGGGTCAATGTTAGGTGAATAGGACTTACCATTCAAGGCCATGATGGGCGGGTCAAGCCTAAAACACAGGTAAGGGTCGCCCACAACTTCCAGGTAATATACTTGACATACTGGTAATATATGTCTTCAGGGCAAGTATTAACCCTGGTTATAATCACCTTCCTTTAAGCCATGGTGGATTCTAAGACAACAAACGTCAAAGGAAAGCCCTGGTAGAGGCTGCAAGTGTTTTGAGAGGAGCGTGAGTTTCCCCGTCTCTTAATATCGTGTTTTTTCCCTATAAGGTAGATTATAGGGGAAAAATAGCATATTGTTAGAAAACAGGGGAACCGACGTGTCCCT